TTATTGGATCATTTTGTAGGGTCTTTACTTTATGTTGTAAAGAACATTGAAACAACTGTTGTTGTACACTTGTGCTACACGAATAAAAGAACTCAGCATAATAATACACTCTGATTTATGCAATGCAGTTCAGCTATATGCCAATTTTTAGGTTCATATCGTCATCAGACATTAGGATAAGTAATAATGATCTGCTGTAACTTTACAAGCTTTCATTATGAGGCCAGTGTAATGAAATAATTTATATTCTACACATATTTAAGCTCCTAAGACCCAAACTCTTTCATTTCGTTTTTCATTTCTCTTTGGGACCTGATGAATGTAAAAACAAAGAATTTGATGTTATGGCTTTTTTTAATATTTGTTTCTGAGAAAGATGAGATCCACATATGAGGACATTCGCTTTAAATTTCAAAAGAACAGTGGTAGTTTTATGTCCTCGTGCGTGGATATCAGGCCCCAGAGCAAAACTTTGTATTTTGGTCTAGACAACCCAAAATGTGATGTGATCCACATATGTGCACGCCAGGTCCTAGCTCTGCCCTCAAAAACAGACACAGATGTAAAACTTGTCTATGTAGCTGGACTTAAGAAATAAACGTGCTTTAAAAACTTGAATCACTTAACGCCATCTTGTGGCAGAACAGAATGTGACATCATTGGGTTTGTTGGCTGGTTGCAGTCAACAGACTTGCACTGGTTTCTGTTAGCTAACTAGTAACATAACTGATAACTTGGTGGAAAATAAGAACACTAAAACTAAAAATCAGTCTCAGAGGGTCACTTTTGTGCTGCCCCTGGCAGTAACAATGAGTTAGTTTTATCTTAAGAAACTGAGTATATGCTGTCCACTGTCTGTGTCTCTTAACCAGTAAGTGGGTTCCTTATCGTTTGGCCAGCTGCACTGAAAAGGGAATTTCCACCATGAACTGGTAGATTCCCCTTTGATACCTGCACTTTAAAGTCAAGAACACACACTACTCTATTTTTTTTTCTGAGTTAAACTAGAAGTTGAATAAAATCCTCCACAGATAAATGTATGATTACAATTACTGATGAAAAGAAGTGCAAAAAACCAATATTCCAGGAACCCCAACAAGCACAAACGTTTTTCTGAGGCATTTCTGCTTTGACATGTTTAAGAAGTCACTATTATCCTTATGTCTGTTTTTATTCTTGCACCTGCACAGCAATGTTTTCTCCAGAAAAGCACTAATCTGTATATTTGATGTGTGCTTAATACTTCAGGAAACCAATAGTGCAAAAGAAGTGAAAAAAAGATTCCTCACAGATTCCCCGGGAACTCAGACGAGGGTCGCCACGACACAATGACATCGTTCTGCCAAAGAAAACGGAACAATAACTGTGAACAGCATTTGGTTATACTGGACCGTGTCAGGTCTGTTGAAAACCTTTGCAGAGAAATTTGCATGAAAAGAGTTACACATGTATATGACACACAAGTGTGTAAGATTTACAAGTGTGCACAGTGATTTGTGTGTGACCTTTGGGTACACACAAATGTGTGCTTCAATTCACATACAAAAAAAAACAATTTTACAATTTTACAATCCATCCAAACTTGATGCACACATTTAAAATAAACAGCGATCACCTGCGTGCAACTTTTTTAATTGGAGTTGCACAAATCGAATCATTTTTCTTTTTAAAAGCTTCTTGTGCATACATGTGTCTAAAATACATGAGATCCACAAATGTATGTTATGTTCAAGTCCCATAGGAAAACTGTGACATCTGGGCTTCCACTCTGTTCCCGTTTCATTTTCTAAATAAACAGACTAGTTCATCAACCCTCTATTAGAAAACATAGATTTACAAGTTACAAACCCTACAAATACATTAACCTCTAAAGGTTAATGTTCTTCAGTCAGCGCGTAGCTGCAGATGGGGGAACACTACGGTTGAATATCCCTGTGGCTCATCCTCTGAACTAGGTATATGCAAACGAATCTCTGTATATTTGAATACGGATAAACCAGGTAGTGTGGAACACTTTGATGTTGATCCCACTCTTCTTGGATAACAGCAGGCTAACACTGATATGAGCTTAATAACTAATGATGAAGTTTGTCATCTGAATTCATCACTAAGTTAAACGTTTTCTGCTCTCAGCTAGCATCAGCTTAAATAAACCCTGCAGATGATGATGAATTTCTACCAGTAGACTTACCCACCAGAGACTGCTAGCAATCTGCCAGGTCTCTCCTAGCAGAGAGATTGCATACATGTAAGATTTACGCATGATAAATGGACTGGTTCTTATGTAGCATGTTTTCTCTTTTTTCTATATTTAACAACTTTCTATCTAACATTCACGCACATTCACACATCGATGTGCATCAGAGAATTTGGGGTTAGTATCTTGTCCAAGGATATTTGGCATGCACCTTGGAGCAGCCAGGTATCGAACTGCCAAGCTTTCGATTAACAGATGACCTGCTCCTGACCTATAGTCATGCACTGTACAGTGTACAGTGATTTCTATCTAACTTTTGAGGACTCACAAATTCCAATCCACATACAAATACGAAGCAATTTGACAGATGTGTAAATCCAAACCTGAATTGTGATCATTTAACCTCAATTTTTTACTTTTATACAAATGTCTAAAAATAGAAGTAACAACTCACTTACAAAACCTTAAATGGATGTGCATGAATCGCCTGCTACTAGGAAACCATGACATCTGGACTTCCTCTGTATTCCTGTTTTTTTCTTTTGAATTTTTGTTAAATAAAGTAGAATGTCACCGCCTGCCAGAAAACAGAATTCATTTTGATTCGGCAGGCTCCTAACTGAGAGATGTGACCTGGAAGTATCTGTGTGGCAGCCTTAACAAGAGCTGTTCCAATTCTCCAAATAATAAAGAAAGGAGTTTCAATGCTTCCATTAGCAGAGGGTACGCTGGACCATCCTTTATGAAAAGGTGGGAGAGAACAGTGTCCCATAATTCATTGCATAAATTCCTGATATATTTAGAGTTTTTAACAACAGTTTGTTAAAGTCACAGCTGAACTCTGAACATCACGTTGGTGGAATAAAAACTGCTTGTTGAGTTGTTTCTCCATCAGCTGAAGATTATGATTTACATTCACTGATAAAAATGTGCTTAACGTTCTGTATAATCAGTGTTCATTGGTAACGCACTTTAATGTAGTTTTAGTCTTAGGATTTATTTTTTACTCCAGTACAAGTCAGCTGGGATCAGTGATGGATGGAGGGGATTTCACTGCAGTTACAGAAACTCTTAGCAGGGAGGAGGAAAGAAGTTCCACTAAATGACAAAAGAAAAATATGAGAAAATAAGATTGATCTCATTTTATAGATATGGGCCAGATTTACTATGTGAGGCAAATTACTGTCATGTCGCAATTGCAGGATGATCTAACAATGCACTGTAACTTCTGTACAGAGATGCAGGTAGTTCACTTCAGTGAAAACCAGCATTGTGACGAGAGAATGTGAAATAGAGACTCAAAAATTCAATGCAAACTAAATTGCGTCTCTGAGAACAGCGAGGCAATTCAGATAAATGAGGCTGAAGGAGAATCGATATAAGAAATAAAATTCACAGAGTACTGTGCAAAGGGTTCAGAGGATTGGGACTCAGTACAGATTAATCCAGAGGAGCGCTGCAGTAGGAACGCTTCCATACTATAAACCTACCTGTGTGAACAGCTGACCTGTACGAGTACGGAAAGTCCGGACTCCGGTACTGACAAACCACCAATATGTATCCTAGTCAGTGGTGAAACACACGTTTTACTTCTCTGTGGTGAATGAGTGGGATGCAAAATGTTATTAGCGAAGCTTTCAAGTTAGAAATCCCAAACTAACGTTTGTGAACTATGAACTACCGACGCGGGCCACGTCAGTTAACCCACTAGACCAGAGAACAGCATGTATCTGGAAAATGTAGGGAAATAGTGTTGAGCTCATATGAGGATGTAAGAAACATTTACCGATTTCTTGCAGACTTTCCATCCAGACTCATCCTTCCTGTAGCTCATCAAGCAGTCGGCCACTGCTTTCGCTTTATGTTCAAAATCCATTTTTGGGAATAACAATTAATGTTGCTCACCTAATCCAAAGGAGACTGATTAAATAGCTGACGGGAAACACAAAACTGAAGTCACGCTGGATCTTAACAATACAAGTCAGGTCCAGCGGCTAAAAGTACCTAACGAAGGCTAGAAACGCAAACCCTGGTCAGGTTAGTGTGGACCACCGCTACAAAGCTAGCGTTAGCCAGAATGAATGAGACGAGCTGCGCAGCGGCCGCATCGCGGAGCAACTATCTTCCATTGGCTTGGGGTGGTGTGACTTTTGTCCCTGCCTGATTCAAAGCATCAAATTTGTAATTTTGCACAATTAATTTCCCCAAAGTACAAACAAAGCACCGGAATCAGTTACTGAGATATCGCGTCATCAAAAACAATAAACTTCCGGTAGCTTTCAAAACAAAACACCTTTAAACCTTATTTAATTACTTTTCATTCATTCATTAAACGTTAACAAATAGATTTCAGTGAACTTTTAGAAAACGCGATTCCAGTATTCCCATAATAAAAAGCCCAGTGGCTTTTAATAAAGTGATATACTTTTGATTTAGGGAGCGCAAGCTCACATCTATCATATTTTGAAGTTCCTCAGTCCTCATAGAAATTTCTCCAGCTTCACACGCACCCGTGAACACCCTCTTCCGTGATTACAGCAAATTAAGCTGGGTATTTTTAGTCAGCTCGGATACATGTTTATCTATCCATCTATAATAAAAGGCAACCAAATGTAATTATTTAAGTTGTTTATGTTTTTATTGCTGATGTTACACAAGTAGACACATTCTTCTATTGTTCTTTGCACTTCCACAATAGCTAGTGCAATTATTTAACAGCATCAAAAGGATATGGAATCACACAAACACAGAAAGGAAATGACATTTTTGTGTGCTTTCAGTGCAGAGTGTCAGTTAATGCCTAATGCTACATATATTATTTAACAGAAACCAACATTTCAAACATTGGAGCAGACCAGATCATTAGATTCAGTGATTTTTAGATCAAAGCTGGTTTTGGATTTCTTTTTGGCCATTTGTCCTTGCCTGGCTCCAGACTTCAAATAGCGCTCCTTGTTGTGGATAACCTGAATATACTGGTCATTGCTGCTATTCTGCTGGTCACTGCTAGAGGCCAGGGAAGCTGAGTCGGACTCAGTCTGCACATTCTCCAGCTTTTGCTTTGTCTTGGACTTCACATGAGGCTCAACATGCCTGGCCCGAGTTTGAGACAGATACTGTCTTCTCGGGGAATGAATGTGACATCTGGTTTGCAGAAGAAGAGGGTCAACTACTCTCACATTAGCCTGTGACTCAGAGTGTGACTCTTCATCTCCACAGGCTATTTCTCCTACTCCATTCTCCTCTTCATCTACGTCTTGAGCCCCATATCTTCCTTGAGCTGTGTGGTTTTCTTTAGATATAGTTATGTAGGTTTCTAGACGGTCACCAATGTAGAAATGTGCTGGCTGTTGGAGGTTAGACGGTGAGCGGGCCCGATGAGTTTTCCCTAGTGACATCTTTCTCCTGCCTTTCCCTTGGTCTTCCTCCTCATCCTCTTCACTTGGATGTTGCTGTGATGCGTGGGACTGGTAAGGACGTGGTTTACTGTGAGCATTGCGTGGTGTGTAGCGTCTGACATTACGTGGGTACAGTTCCATGATCTCTGTGGGTTCCTCCATGAAATAATGGCGTGGGATCCGTGTGGCTGAGCGCAGCAACTTTTTCCTGGGTTCATGCTCATTGACAATCACATAGCGGGTGGTGTGACCACGGCGTCCTCTATAACTCTGTGCAGTAATGATCCCAGCAGCTTCAACTGGATGAACAGAATGTACAGTCTTCCTGCACAAGGGGTCAGAGTGAATGCTGTCAGAACAGTGAGGTGGAGAATTGTATACCATGTGATGGTAGGACTTGGATCTGCAGGTACCACTAGGACCACCAAGAAAAGGTGGAGGCCTATAATGAAAAAGGACAACAATAACAATCAGCTTTTGTGTTACAGCAGATTACATTTCGTTGTTTTCCATGGATTACAAATGTCAGTGCTCTCCACAGAACACTAGTGTTGTCGAACAGGGGAAAATGATAGCGTCTTTACATATCTCTGCCCCCTGATAAAATGCTGATTAAGGATTATTTAGCTGCAAATTAGGGCTGAATGTTTAATCCTTGTTATATCAAAATCAAGAGGCATTTGATTGGCAGCTGTTTGTAGTCAATGATTGACTAAAGCCTGGAACCCATGGACGATCAGTTTCGTCGTAGTATAACTCGGTTCCCTTTGCCACAATACAAACTTTGTCTCTACCATGTTTGACAGATAATTTAGCATCTTGTGGATCACGAGCTGTTCCTTTTCTCTGCCACACATTTCTCTTCTCGTCATTTTGGTACTAGTTAATCTTGTTTATCTGTCAAACATATTTTTTTCAGAAATATGTTCACTCTGTTAGATGTTTTCTGGAGAAGTCCTGGCCCTCTTGTTCTGGTGTAACCAGTGGCTTGCACCTTGTTGTAAACCCTCTTTAATTTTGGTGTCTCTTGCCTTGAGAGTGTTCTTGACTTAGCTAGATGTTATGCTTTTGTTTTTCTAAACCATGGAAATCATTTTGTCATTGTTCACTTTCATTGTCTTCCTGTGGCCTTTCAAGTTTCTTGGTGTTGTGAGTGCCTTCATTCTTATTTGATTGTACCAAAGTGTTGATTTGACCACCCCTAAACTTTTGGAGTTCTTTCTAATATTTGTATTTTGTTTTTTCGGCCCAGTGATAGTCTCCTGTCTTTGGCCCTCATATTTAAAATACAGTTAAGCTTTGAAATAATTTGAAATTCACTACTATGGTGTACAGAGGCAAAACTATAAAAGAATTGTGTCAATGTCCAAATACTTTGGGGCCTGATATATACATATTATTAATAGTATCTCTATATACATGTTAATAAGCTGACTTTAGGGGATGTGGAAGAGGCAGAGACACATACTAGCAGGATGCCATAGTCATGACTTAATGTTTTATGTCTTTGCATGAAAAATTATAGACCTATTTTTTTAGATTATAGTGAAATCTATACAGATTACAGATTTACATAATGGGCAGCATGAGAGAAGTTCACTTCTGAAATGTCATAAGTTAGAAATAACAGTTAATCTTTTAAATATGTATAAAAGAAACTATTTGAATTGCTTGATCATTTTTAATTTACGTTTTTTTCGTTACCAATATTTTAAAGTGGACATTAAAAAGAAACTTTCTCAACAGGCTGTATATGTTTTACCAGGTTTGAGCAAGTCTGAGTTCTTCCATTGGCAAACTAGACTGAGACTTTATCAAAACATATCATTAGGCATCGCTCCTGGCTATAATTTCACAGTGAATATATGATACAGGAAATTTATAACACAGTTTCACTATATTCAGCCTTTAAGAGGTCCCCTAAAGTAAACCTGACTGGTTAAAGCAACATGTCAGTGTGTGAGACCTGTTAGGAATGTGCTCCAGCCAATGTTTGGGCAGTACGGTTACTGCTGGACTTCTGATAGATCCGGCCACACCTCCTCTGTTCAGGTCTCCTCTAGATACTGATTTCGTGATGGTGCGGATGCAATTCCCACGATGAACAGGGGATTCAAAGTTTGTGGTGCTGCTATTCTGACAGGGAGATGGGGTGTGGTTAGAGGACTCTTGGCTGGCGATGTTGTTTTCCTCATGATCTGACTTTTTGTCTGCAGCAGCCTCTGGAATCTGTAGTCTTGCTGTAGAAGAGCGATACAGTGGTGTGAAAAAGTGTCTGCCCTTCCTGATTTTGTATGTTTGTCACACTAAAATGTTTCAAATCATCACACAAATTTAAAAATTAGACAAAGATAACACAAGTAAACACAAAATGCAGTTTCTAAATGAAGGTGTTTATTATTAAGGGTAAAAAAATATCCATACCTGTATGGCCCTGTGTGAAAAAGTTAAGCCCTTAACCTAATAATGGGTTGGGCCAGCAGTCAGCTGGGCCTTTATTGCTGCCTCGGGACTTGCTGTGATAAATGGAACCATGATTTCTGCTGTCTACCAAAACATCCTGAAGGACAATGTCCAACCATCTGATTGTGACCTCAACCTGAACTGCACTCCTGCAGCAGGAAAATGATCCAAAACAAGTTTTGAAAAGTCCAGCAGCGAGTCCATGGCGTAGAACAGCGGTGTCCAACTCCAGACCTCAAGGGCCGGTGTCCTGCAGGTTTTAGATGTGTCCTTAATCCAACGCAGCTGATTTGAATGGCTAAATTACCTCCTCAACATGTCTTTGGCTGTATCCCAATCCAGGGTTTGCAGCCTTAAAGGCCGCATTTTAAGACCGATTACGTCACAGCAACGCGACGAAGGCTGTCCCAATTCAAAGGCTGCTCGAAATGCGGCCCTCCAATGCGTCCTTCATTTCACTGAATGTTAAGGATGTGGCGGTGCAGACTTTGTGGCCCAACATATCCCAGAATGCATAGCGTGGCGGTGGGTGTGGATAATTTTGCCAGAAAAAGAGGGCCGGCCGAAGAGTAAACTTTCAAAAGTAAGTACTGAATATTATGTCACTTATTTATGTGCGAGTGTTTAATAACGAAGAACATTAAAACATTACTGTTGGCCACATGTCGGCAAAGTTATGTGACATTAGTGACGTTTGGGCAGGGATAGCTCAGTAGGTAGAGTAGTGGCCCCATGATCGGAAGGTCGGGGGTTCGACTCCACTGAACGGCTACCCTGAGGTACCCCTGAGCAAGGTACCGTCCCTACACACTGCTCCCCGGGCGCTGCATTGGTGGCTGCCCACTGCTTCACTGGGTGAATGGGTTAAATGCAGAGGAACTATTTCCCTATGGGGGCTAACACGCACACTTTACTTTACACTTTGTACTAACTTGGTTTTAAAGCCTTTACTTTAAAATAAACGCCGTTCAATAGCTGAGCTTAATCTCACAGAGAATGTGATGATTCTATGGATATTTAAAGTCAGCACTGAGACAAATTTAGTAATGCCAACATATTAAAAGAACAATATTTGTCTCTCATATATATAACACAGTTATATATACAGTGTCAAAGAAACCTGTCTTTGAGTGAAGATTTAAGGTGACAGGAAATATAAATGATATAAATAAATGCAGCTTGAATCTTTACTGAAGCTCAGTATTTGAAACAGAGTCATTCACTGCTGTGATAACTAATAATGATTAATATAATCACTATCATATTGGCCATATTATATTTACATTGCCACAGTGAGATGACTTTAGTCTCATGAATAACATGAGCTAATTGTTATTTACTAGCTAATCTTAAAATGACTGTTCAGTACAAAAATGAAGCCCAACAATCATGTTTTACAGTCGTGTGGTCTCAGCCTCAGATACTTATCACATCACACAAAGCTCATGTAGAAACAAATGAACAAAATATGTTCTACTCCGTTTCTGTCAAACAAAGCTGTATGAAACGTTTCCCGCTTTTAGTATAACGGTTGATAGGCAACCTGGGCAGCGCGAGGGAGGCTAGACCGTCCCATTTCACAAGCCTCGCACTTCCGGCCTTAGCGGTCTTTGAGTACGCGGCCCTTGAGGACCGTTAAGGCTGCAGACCCTGAATTGGGATACAGCCTTTAAGTTCTCCAGAGGTGATGAACTAATCCTTTGATTCAGGTGTGTTGACCCAGTATGAGATCTAAACCTGCAGGACACGGGTCCCTGAGGTCTGGAGTTGGACACCCCTGGCTTAGAAAAAAACAAAATGAAGACTTTGGACAGGCCTAGTTATAGTGCTGACCTGAACATGACTGAGATGCTGTGGCATGACCTTAAAAAGACGGTTCATGTCGAAAACTCTCCAAAGTGTCTGAATTACAATGATTATGCAAAGATGAGGGGGCCAAAATTCCTCCACAGTGCTGTAAAAGACTCGTTGTCAGTTATGGCAAACATGTGATTGCTGCTGAGGGTGGCCCAACTCGTTATTAGCTTTAGGGGGTAATCACTTTTTCACACATTGGATTTTTTTCCCCTTAAAAATAAACACCTTTAGAAACTGTATTTTGTGTTTACTTGTGTTTTATTTTTAATATTTTTATTTGTTTTATGATCTGAAACATTTAAGGGTGACAAACATACAAAAAAAGGTCATCAATAAGGGGGCAAACATAGAAGACGAGAGATACCTGCAGCCATCTGGAAGACTTTCTTCTTGTCTTCAGTGCGCTCCTGAGAAGGTTTGAAAAAACACTGACTTCAGACGCACACCATTATACTATCATTATGTAATGGCCAGTTTAAGGCTGCACTATATATACGCAGTGACATGACAAAGTATTTGCTCCCTCCCTTCTTTTGCATATGTGTGAGACTTAAATGTTTTAGGTCAAACAAATTGTAATACTGACAACTTGAGTAAATACAAAACACAAATGCGTACAGACAGTATTTATGTTTACAAAATTAAAAATGATAAACATTTCCACTCCCCCTGTGTGTGGTCTTCATCCTTCTAGCTAAGGCCCTCTAACAGAGACCTGGGAGGTTGACGGTCCTTCACAATATCTTTGTTCCTTCCCAACTGAGGGTACTGCTCCTTGTGGCTGTTTATCTTGTAGTCAAATATCTCACCAATGATATGTTTACTGCCTGAATTGACACCAAAAAAGCCTGAATGCTGCACACATCAGAATCAGAATCAGAAAGACTTTATTTATCCCCAAGGGGCAATTAAGAGGATACTTAATTATGGATACTAGGGTGCTTGGCACTTTAAAAGGCTAACAGTGTACTTAATGGGACTTTGGAAGACAAAGTCAAAGACAATCACAGAGGTCACCATCAAGTGTGGGCATACCAAGGTGATGCCCACTTCTGGATAGGCCTCAACCCTCTAAAGCAGTTTATCAGTAGGATTGGATAGGAATATATATTTAGGTCTGGAGTGACCATCAGCCATCTCCTGTACAAAGAAATTATGATGTACACCAGGAGGTCCACTTCAGCATCTACTGTGAGGACATCGTGATTTTATTCGAACTGGATAAGAGGAAAGGTAATGCAGACTATTAAGCCAGAAAGGAGAATAGCAGATAC